ATATATTAATAAATACCTTGTAAATTTTCACCAAAGAATTCTACCATGTCATTACGTTCAAATTCTCCATGTACAAGTACATCTATACCAATTTCTTCTTGGAAGCGAATACATTTCTCAATTTCTTCCTTGATGAAACTATCATATTGTGATTGATCTACAGAACCTTTCTTGAGCTTAGCACGGATAGCACGAACTTCTTTTGTTTGGGGAAAAGATCCAACAGTGGTTGTTGGGAAGGAGGGAAGATTTAATTTTTGCTTTTGTTTAATTTGTCTTTCGCTGAAAACAGATTTACGTTTGACAGGATTATGAATACGTGATGATATTTTGCGGGCTTGGACTCTGAATACAAATATTTGACTTGGTCAACAACGTTTAAATTATATAGAAAAGTTAGCTAATAAACACTTACAATTTGCGGTTAGCCTCAAGCTTTGTCTGATCACCATCAGCCAACACACTAGAGATAGTTACCACTTCCTTAATCTTTTCAACAGCAAAAGATAGCCAACCCAAAATTTCAGAATCTATTTTCTTCTCACCTTGGATTGAATGAGGAGTGTGCAAAAGAGAACAAGATGGTGCTATGAAAACACGTTCAGAACCAAGAGCAGTAACAGCTTTCTGAGCTTCAGCCAAAACAGCATCCAAATTGGCTAACCAAATATTACGTCCATTGATCAACCCAAGAGAGAGGGAAACAGTTGCAGGTAACCGGTTCAAAATTGGTTCCAATTGTCCGGGAGCACGGACCAGATCGATGTGAATTGCATTTATGGGAGTGTCGATAATGAAATCAAGGTTGGTACCAATGTGATCAAAATATGTTGCAACCAAAATTTTCAACTGGGCAGACACCTTGGTAAGTGCATTATAGGCAGAAGCATATTCTTTCTTGAAGGTGGAAGGAAGATCGAGTACTAAGCATGGCTCATCCATTTGGATCCATGTAGCCCCGGCATTAGCCAATTCAGATAGTAATTTTTCATACAAAGGAATGAGTTTGCTCAGTAACTGAATTGGTTCAAATCCTTGAGGGGCATCTCTTGTTGGTTTTCCAAGAAGCAGGTAAGTGACTGGGCCCAAAATCACTGGACGAGTTTCAATACCCAAAGCCTTAGCCTCTTTGTACTCGCTGATGATTTTGGCGGAATTGAGAGTGAATTCCTGGTTTGGTTCAAATTCGGGGACAATGTAGTGGTCTGCGGTAAAAATAATATTATTAATTAATCAATGGGAAATAAATAAATTAACATATAAAATATATATAGTAAAAAAAAAAAAGACTTGGTATTCACAGTTCGTATCGAACCATTTCTTCATTTCACAAGCAGCAACATCAACTCCTGGCTTTTGAAGACCTCTACACATAGCAAAATAGGTTTCAAGTCCAGGATTGAGATTTTTATACCGGGCAGGGATCACACCAAAAGCATACATAATAAGTATTTGTTATTATTATATTCATTGTGCAATTTGATAATTATAAAATATTTAATTTACCA